AGGTTTGCTACGTCACAAACCAATAACCAATCACGTCAAGGGATCGATTCCTATCACTAGCATGCAAAATATACCAATACCAGCACAAAACCAAAAATAAACCAGAGCAAAAAACCCATGAAGCTGTGGTTTAATGTGAATTTAGAACCGCTAACTAGCATTATAACCCGTGGCAACAGTGTAAAAGTAGCCCGGAGTCAGATGCACCTCTCCCGCAGCTGCGTTTGCACTTCACACAAAGGGAAGCGGGCGCGAATTAACAATCACAAACGGCTGCATTCCAGTCTTCAATGCATTTTGAGGACACAACATTGTCAAGTAAGTAACTTTAACGAATGTTACAGTATTCACTGTAGTTGTCCGCTAGTAAAAACATAGTTTTATCTGTCAGTATCCGTGTATGCCATTGTTTTGCAGTTACTACAGTTCAGTGGATCTGGAGGCGCTGGCTGGTGTGACTGAGTGGAGGCGGGGCTCATTTGCATATTCATAGATCAGCATATAGTAAATGAGGCAAGGGTGTAGAGTTACATTCAAGCTATTTTAAGGCATGAGAAAAACATTTAAATATGTCATTTTGATTATCAAAGATAAGTTTTAAGGGATAAAATATTTGACTACAGGGGGACTTTAAGTGATAAAACATTTTCCTCACACTTTGAGTACATGTGAGTGCACACATTGCAATAACCATTATGCTGTTTTAAAAAAGTCATAAATGTCTTTGTTTTGTTTTTTTGGTTGCACCGCATGACATTTTACAACACGAGCTATCCTTGCCTTGTCATAAAAAAGGTTAACTTATCTGATATTTTCCCAGACTTACTGACACTGAACAGTCATGAGGGTTTGCAAGGGTCCTCTCTATGATATAATTTCCTGCCCCCCCACATGTAGGTTTTACCATTATGATGGTAAATTAATTAAATTTAAAATGAATTAAAAACACGCTCATCATAGAAAATGTGTATTTAAGTCAATGTATGTATGAATTGCATTCATTGTATTCTTTTATATATTTATTTATAGATCTGGACAAACAAATGAGCGCCATGTCATAAACCCAACTATCAAAGGGAGTAAATCGAACATGATCCACCTCTGATGCAGTCAACGCAGAAACATCTAGCTTTACTGCTAATCAGAGTGAACCGCTGTCAGTGTGAACGGCCCTTCACCGCATGTAGGTTTTATCATTATGATGGTAAATTAATTAAATTTAAAATGAATTAAAAACACGCTCATCATAGAAAATGTGTATTTAAGTCAATGTATGTATGAATTGCATTCATTGTATTCTTTTATATATTTATTTATAGATCTGGACAAACAAATGAGCGCCATGTCATAGACCCAACTATCAAAGGGAGTAAATCAAACATGATCCACCTCTGATGCAGTCAACGCAGAAACATCTAGCTTTACTGCTAATCAGAGTGAACCGCTGTCAGTGTGAACGGCCCTTCAGATGGCATCATTGATCATGAAATGATGCGTTTCCTGCACACCCCCATGGTTGTCAGTATATTCAGCAGTACTTTAAATATATAAAGATAACAGAAGTAATAATATACTTAAGTGGGTGAAAAAAAGCACTCTAAGGGTCAGCTAATAGTATTTACCATAATATTAATTTAAAACTAATACATTTTAATTGAATTGCAATTAACATGCTATTAAGTGTCTGTAAACACTGAATTCAGTTTGCAGTAAAGTATAATTAATACAGTATATAATTACAGTATATATTCGTTTTCATATATTCTTATATTTATTTCAGTTGTTATGTATATAATTAATTCAGTAATTACTAGGTTGCAGACTCAGACTTGCTCTCACATGTTTAAACACCGGCTTTGACTGTACCAGCATAGCAGATGGCTTATGTATAACTGCGGTAAGATTGTGTAAAATTAGTTTTTGTTACGTTTGAGTCCATAAATTACTGCAGTAGAATACTGTGGCTGAAATTAACTGTACATTTAATTGCACAGACCATTGAATACAATTCACTAAACTATTGTCTGAACGTTTTAAAGCTGTCAGCTTCAGTTGATTCTAAACTTCTATCTATTCCCAAACATTTTCAGCCTCTCCGGCTTGTGTCTGTGAGGCTTGCGGAGGTTGTGTGTCATTTTAACATGCAGGGCAGCATTTCAGCTGGGCCCTTCAAGCTGGTTTGAGGTTCTGCTGCAGTGACTCTCGCAGACCAGTACTGTAGAGCGTTTCTGTCCTGGTACAGCGTCTGCAGCAGAAACCCAGATCGCGTTGAGTGTAAGCTGCAGGTATAGTGTTGCCTGTAGTTAGAGCGAAGAGACATGCAGACCGGTGCTTACTTAAACCCCCAGCCCGTCCCACCCAGGACTATAGCTGTCACCAGGATGGCCCCTGCGATCGACCCTATGATGAGATTGGTGGCACTAGGACCTGTTTGGGCAAGTGTGGGGAAAATGGGACATGAGCTTTGATTCGCTAGAACTCAAAATTTCTGTTCCAGCAAAACCAATAGTGTCTTTACAAGATCTAGCATTTTTATGCCACCTTTAACAGTTTGAGATTTCCATACAGGTATTCAGCCTGCATGTGAAAACGAAGTAATTAACTGTGTTCGATCATTTCACATGCTGGCAAAAAAATCTCATCTAAGCCAATATGAGATGGAAAAAGTTACCCAAAATGAGTTCTGGACTGCACCACATTGCTAAAGATGTTATCAATAAATGAAGATTAAATAAAGAGATTTAAAAAAAAATCTACATTAATATACTCATTTGTTTTCATCCTCCCTTTGTGATTTTAGGAACTGTGTATTTACTATTATATTCGAAATAAAGTTTCACTGTAGTGGACAAAAGTCTGGTATCATTATTCTTTTTAAGAAATTGATACTTTATTCAGGAATGCTGCTTTAAATTGATCAAAAAATGTGACAGTAAAGACATTGTTCACACCAAGGATGATAACTATAACTAGAAAACGGTAATAACCGTTCTAATTCGATTAGAATACTGAAGTCCACACATTTCCACGATAAAACAATATTGCTGAAATCAATCAATCCCTTGAGCATTTAAAGCGGCGGGAGACAAAACTGCGGCACACTCTTATAATAAACAGAGCATTGTCATCAATTGCGGACGCTAATATTGTTATCATTATAGTTAGTGTCCTTGGTGTGAATGGGCCTTTACCAAAGATTTTGATTTCAAATAAATGCTTCTTCTATTGAGCTGTCTATTCATCAGAAAATCATGAAAAATGTTTCATGCTTTACAGAAAAAAAAATAAGCAGGACAACTGCTTTCAACATTGATCTAAAATGTTTCATGAGCAGCAAATCAGCATACCTGGTCTCATGACGAATATGTACCTCTTGGTAATTTTTCACAAGACGCGGAATACGTACCGTCATGTACGTTTCACGACATATTCGATGTGAAATGTCCACTGGGTGCTGCTAAAACAGAGTGTTCGGTTTTTTCCCTGGAACAGATGAACGTACTTATGGTACGTTTTATGTAATGTTGGTTTTATATGCGTCACCTCAGTCTGACTTGAAATGTCCATTGAATGGCGCTGTAAGTCTAATGCTCCGAGACGTTTTAAAATAACATACCATCTGCACTACACCTAAACCTACCTGATAGTATGAACTGAAACTGAAAGCAAGTGTGACTTAAAGGGGTCATATGATGCCATTTCAATTTTTCCTTTCTCTTTGGAGTGTTACAAGCTCTTGGTGCATAAAGAAGATCTGTAAAGTTGCAAAGACTAAAGTCTCAAATCCAAAGAGATATTCTTTATAAAAGTTAAGAGTCAACCACGCCTACCTAAAACTGCTCGTTCTAACACGCCCCCAACATGTCTACGTCACGATGTGCGAAGATTAGCATAACGCTGCCCAAATGTTCACGCAAAGAAAGAAGGCGTAACTTTAATTCTCGCTGTAGTATTGTTGCTGCCGCCGCCGCCATGTCGTGAAGACGCTGTGTGTTTCGTTGTGAAAGCGAAACTACTTTGTTTGGTCTTCCAAAAGAGGACGATATCCGCTTCGTCATGCCTGGAGCTGATCCGTGCTGGTCACTGAGGAAATACTTCAACTTCGCGCTGTGGATCACCGGATCGGCTTTCACCGTGGACGAAGCGGAGTCCAGCCCGGGGTCATCACATGTGGTTGCCGCAAGCATCATAATATGGTGAGGGACGTAACATTTCCGTCACATGCTTGAGGAATTCGGACAATCACAATGCACTGGATAGCTGGCCAATCAGAGCACACCTCGCTTTTCAGACCGATGAGCTTTGTAAAAATCGACGCGTTTCAGAAAGGCGGGGCATAGAGGAGAAACAATAATACAGTTTGCGGAAAATAATGTGTTTTTTTAACCTTAAACCGCATAAACAATGTAATCATAACTGTGCACAAAAAATCTCGCTGTTTTACTGCCTCTAGTGTTCATTTCTGTTGAAAACTGCAGTGATATGTAGCCTACTTATTGATATGTATTACCCAGAGGTCCGTTTTCATCATGAGACCAGGTTTAAACCAGCATATTAGAATGATTTCTGAAGGATCATGTGACCCTGAAGACTGGAGTAAAGCTGCTGAAAATTCAGGTTTGATCAAAGGAATAAATTGCATTTTAAAATATATTCAAATAGAAAACATTCATTTGAATTATATTCGTTTTTACTGTATTTGTGACCAATTACATGCAGCCTTGGTGAGCATAAGAGACTTCATTCAAAGACAAAAATTCTACCACCCAAAACTTCTGAACGTCTGAGCCTCATTCTTTAAGCGTGTATATAATGAATGTGTGTGTGAATCATTCACAAAAATCCACTCAAAATATTAAGAGATTTCACCAATCTCTTCTGGTGTTTTATGAAGAAGATCCACTCTCTCTGTATGTGTTTGTATCTGTGTTAGTGCCAGAGCACTAAAGCCACAAACCCTTGGGTCCCTCATCTTCAGCAGGGGGTGGTTCTTTTGGAGGATCAGGCATACTGCAATCTGTCCCCGCCCACGTTGTGTCACATGTACACGCTGCCTCATTATTGCACACCTGTTTAAATTTAGAATGGCCAAAAAATACTTATCATAATAGCATAATGAGAAATGGATGCTCATACAGAATAAACGAGTAAACCTCAATATGCATGTATTCAGTGTGTGCAGTCAGGTTTGTCTCACCCCGTGACTGGAACAGACGTGTTCGTTGGGTCCGGTGGGACAGGAGCTCAGGTTCAGATACTGAAGAGGGAGACACTTCCTGTCCAGACACATCATAGATGGACCGCATGGAGTTCCATCCTCGACATACCCGAGATCAGTCTGATCATCCAGCAAGACGTGACCACCGCTGAGAAAACAGTGTGTGTGTGCGTGTTCAGATCTGCCAGCATATCATACATGATAATCAGCATTATAAATGTGTCTCTGTGTGTCTCACCTGCAGTCGATCAGTCTGCCCTGATGGTTGAAATTTGTGGGAGTGACTTCTCCTTTTATAGTTCCAATCCGTGGGATTCGGCCAGTGTTAGTGCACAGCAGGTATCCACAAAATACATCACTGCAATAGAGACAGCACAAAAATCACAGCGACTCCAGAACATCCACAGGGGCCACAAGAGGGTCTGTGAAAAATTAGATTTAAGAATGAAATGTGACCCTGTCTGTGAAATTCAGGCTGAAGTCTCAAAATCTAATTATGAGATAACAAGCATCAAAGTTTGATTTCAACCATTAATTTCACTATGATTTAAATTTTTGACATGGCCTTACTAAGTCAATAATAAAGATCACAGAATGTTCTACATCTTTATAAAGGATGATTTTATGTAGAAAACAGTAAATCACCAAAAAAGGCTTTAGCTGGGTTTTCACAGGCAAGGTAACAAATGTCTTTAACACAATCATTTTTAACACATTATTTGGTAAATTTTTCATTCACAAACAAAAATCCGCAAATAGCTTCCCATCCTATCCCCTTTTTAAAATTGAATTAAACTCACTTCTAAAATCTCTTCATCTTATAAAGAATAAAAAATCCCTACGATTTCTGAAATATTATACAGAAGCATTTAAAGAAAATTCATGCTTTTAGATGCTCCCCTTGTATGTAATTGTTTTTTTAATCTCATTGTAATGTCTCTGTAATGTCATTCACGCTCTGTGTTTTTTTCTTTTTTTGTTTTGTTTGTTTGTAACAGTATTTAAGCTACTATTAATGTGAATGTGGTCATTATTATTGGTTATTATTTTCTGGATTTGTATGTGATCCCTTGACTAAGTTCCTTTTGTATTGTCTGTTTAAGCATTAATAAAAAATAAAAATAAAAATTTCAACACATTCACAATATTTGATAAGCCTACTGTTGGATTCGGCTTCCTAAAGCCTGTCTAACCTGAACAACACATCAGTTGATTTTATTAGAATGACAATGCTAGCTTTTACCAGAAAGAAAGAAATATGCATATAACAGTTAACAAATACAAAAAAAAAAGATGTTACCAATCATGTTATCCATAATTGGTTTCAGTTTTCTATGGAACAAATAAATCAATTCAAAACACAAAGTAGATATGTTTAGTAACATAATATCTACACATTTTCAAAAGTAAAGTGTAACAACAAACATCTTAAATTATGCATGAAACCTGTCAAGAATGAATGTTAAAACATTTGACGATGATCATAAATAGTTAAGCTGTTTGTCTTTCTTCTGCACCTTTACTCATCAGTTCAACACAAAATATATGAAATGTACAGACAGAAACAATGATTGTTATTTAAAGGGATAGTTCACCTAAAAAAAACATTTTCAACACATTCACAATATTTGATAAGCCTACTGTTGGATTCGGCTTCCTAAAGACTGTCTAACCTGAACAACACATCAGTTGATTTTATTAGAATGACAATGCTAGCTTTTACCAGAAAGAAAGAAATATGCATATAACAGTTAACAAATACAAAAAAAAAAAAGATGTTATCCATAATTGGTTTCAGTTTTCTATGGAACAAATAAATCAATTCAAAACACAAAGTAGATATGTTTAGTAACATAATATCTACACATTTTCAAAAGTAAAGTGTAACAACAAACATCTTAAATTATGCATGAAACCTGTCAAGAATGAATGTTAAAACATTTGACGATGATCATAAATAGTTAAGCTGTTTGTCTTTCTTCTGCACCTTTACTCATCAGTTCAACACAAAATATATGAAATGTACAGACAGAAACAATGATTGTTATTTAAAGGGATAGTTCACCCAAAAATGAAAATTCTGTCATTAATTACTCACCCTCATGTCGTTCCAAACCCGTAAAACCTTCGTTCATCTTCATAACACAAATGAAGACAGTTAAGTTAGTAAGGACATCATTAAAATAGTCCATGTGACATCAGCGGTTCAACCATGATGTTATGAAGCGAATAAAGTCGTTATTTTTGTTTTCTTTGCGCACAAAAAAGTATTCTCATAGCTTCATAACATCACAGTTACCGATGTCACATGGACTATTTTAATGATGCCCTTACTACCTTTCTAGACCTTGAACGTGGTAGTTTGTCTATGCAGGGTCAGAAAGCTCTCGGATTTAATCAAAAAATATCTTCATTTGTGTTCCGAAGATGAAGACGAATGAAGGTCTTCATGAGGATGAGTAATTAATGACAGAATTTTCATTTTTGGGTGAACTATCCCTTTATATGAAAGTGAATAAATAAGCACTGTGATCTGTAGAGTTGTGTAGCATTAGCATCTGACAGCATCACTTCAATGTCTAAGACACGTTTTATTACTAGTTGTACTTAGCAGTACACTGTAACTAACATGTCTGTCTGTTTTGTGTTTCCATTGTGCTTTGCTCTCTGTGACCTAGTTTGCCTGAGTTCTGATTAGTTCATTTGGTTCCACCTGTGTTGTTAATTATCTCATCGGTTCCTTTGTTTGGTCCCTGAGTTTTCCCTCTGTGTTTGTTGGTTCTCATTCATGGAAAAGCTTTATTCCCTGCATGTGAGTTCTTTTGTTATTAAGTCTCGCTCTTACATTCATCTGCATCTTTGTGAGCTTATTCCTACACATACCCATGACATACACATATTCCAAATGGAAATGTAGCACGTGTTACAAAGCTAAAGTTTTAAAAAGGTCTCAGACATCGGTTTAAGCTCTAATTTGTTATTTGTAACCATTTTAACCAGTAACCATAAACTTTAGAGTGTTTGCTCTACTTTTTGTGCAGCAGAAGTGAATTATACTTCATATAATGTAGTTTGAGGAGAGATGTGCCATTACTTGTCTGAGTAATCAGATTATTTTTTCCTGGTAAAAAGGGTGAAAAATCCACTAGAACATGAGACCTATCTAGATCCGAATATCACTGGTGGGATCTTTTTGACTTAGGCCTGTAAGCAACCACCCACAGTGCCCTAGCATTGAAGTGTTGAGTTTTGCATGCTTTGTAACTCACTGCTTACTGCACTGGATCCATTTGTCTCCATCTTGACCGCAGTTGCCCTTCTCTGAGCCTTCGGTATTTAGCTTCTCATAACAGAACTTCTCCGAACTCGCAGCCTCTGAATGAAAACAGACAAGTGGGAAACAAAGGTGAGACCTATCACGTTTTATTACTAGTTGTACTTAGCAGTACACTGTAACTAACATGTCTGTCTGTTTTGTGTTTCCATTGTGCTTTGCTCTCTGTGACCTAGTTTGCCTGAGTTCTGATTAGCTCATTTGGTTCCACCTGTGTTGTTAATTATCTCACCGGTTCCTTTGTTTGGTCCCTGAGTTTTCCCTCTGTGTTTGTTGGTTCTCATTCATGGAAAAGCTTTATTCCCTGCATGTGAGTTCTTTTGTTATTAAGTCTCGCTCTTACATTCATCTGCATCTTTGTGAGCTTATTCCTACACACACCCATGACATACACATATTCCAAATGGAAATGTAGCACGTGTTACAAAGCTAAAGTTTTAAAAAGGTCTCAGACATTGGTTTAAGCTCTAATTTGTTATTTGTAACCATAAACTTTAGAGTGTTTGCTCTACTTTTTGTGCAGCAGAAGTGAATTATACTTCATATAATGTAGTTTGAGGAGAGATGTGCCATTACTTGTCTGAGTAATCAGATTATTTTTTTCCTGGTAAAAAGGGTGAAAAATCCTCTAGAACATGAGACCTATCTAGATCTGAATATCATTGGTGGGATCTTTTTGACTTAGGCCTGTAAGCAACCACCCACAGTGCCCTAGCATTGAAGTGTTGAGTTTTGCATGCTTTGTAACTCACTGCTTACTGCACTGGATCCATTTGTCTCCATCTTGACCGCAGTTGCCCTTCTCTGAGCCTTCAGTATTTAGCTTCTCATAACAGAACTTCTCCGAACTCGCAGCCTCTGAATGAAAACAGACAAGTGGGAAACAAAGGTGAGACCTAAGGATATATACATTAGCTTAACTACTGGTAGTTTGCAGAGTTCGCTTTATTTCTATTATAAGAGTGGGTGTTTGAGTGGGACATTTGAAACATGAATGTGCGAGGCTTCAGGTGTCATTAATTTCCAGTTATGTTAGATGCACAAAAATAGTCCTTTATGCCTTTGATGCTGCAAAGTGGTATTCGTTACATTCATGCTAATGAAACAAAAATGAGATGGAGAACAAAGTTTATTTAAATGCTTTTTAGTTATCTTGCAAAAGCTCCCCCGATAATCTTTGCTTTCTTCCCTCAAAACGTTTGCATTCCCCTGAGAAACTTTACATGTCATGGGGATGAACGCAAAAGTTTTATGAGAATATGAGAAAATGCAAAGCACTGAAATCGTCTCAGGTTACATATGTAAACATGGTTCCTCGAGGGAACGAGACGCTGCGTCGGAGAACACTTCGGGAACGCCTTCTGTGACCACGCTCTGAATCACATGTGAAATCAGTCCAATAGCTGGGCGAGACGTCACGGGCTGGTGACGTCATTACCAGGAAGCTATAAAAGCACGTGCGGCGGAGCCGGCGTCAGCTTCAGGAATGAAGCAAGCGATGGCAGGGATGCCGGAAGTATGGCACCGAGACGCAGCATCTCGTTTCCTCGAGGAGCCATGGTTACATACGTACGCTTCGGGAACGAGAATGCCCACGCCGCCAGACTTTCAAATCTCTGCCTAGTGTGGAAGCTAGGGCAAGAGAACAGAAGAGCTAGGAGTGGCTTGCATGTCTAAACCGTAGAACCTGACGAAGGTAATGGGCGTGGACCAACCCGCAGCGTTGCAGATGTCCTGCATAGAAACACCTGCGAAAAAGGTCTTAGAGGCCGCCACACTTTGAGTGGAGTGAGCCTTGACCCCTAGCGGTGAGGGGAGATCAGCGGACTCATAAGAGATGGAGATGGCATCCACTATCCACCGACTGAGGGTCTGTTTTGTTGCTGGAAGACCTCTCTTAGGGGAACCGTAGGGGCCTGCAAATCCCCAACTCTCTTAAGAGAAGATATCGCCAGAAGAAAGGTAGTTTTTATCGTGAGGTGGCGATCAGAAATCTCCTCAATTGGCTCGAACGGAGGCTTACAGAGAGTTTCTAGCACCACTGCCAGGTCCCACGTGGGGACGCGAGATCGTACGAGAGGCCTCAGCCTCAGCGCACCACGGAGGAAACGTGCAGGAACTCAAGTACTGAACCGACTGGGCAGTTAGCTGGGTCAAGCTGGCGGTCTCTACACCAGGAAGTGAAAAGTTTCCACTTCAAGGCGTACAGTTTCCTCGTGGAGGGAGCTCTGGATTGGAGGATGGTCTCAACAACCTCAGTTGAGAGACCAGAAGCTACTAGTTGTGCCCCCTCAGGGGCCACACCCATAACTTCCACAGCTCCGGGCGGGGGTGAAATATCGTGCCCTCCACCTGTGAGAGGAGGTCCCTCCTGATGGGAAATCAGGTCCGAGAACCATACTCAGCCCGGCCAGAACGGGGCTACTAACAGTAGACCGACTCCGTCCAGGCGCACTCTCTCCAGAACTCCCGGGAGCAAAGCGATCGGGGGAAAGGCGTACAGACGAAGCCTCGGCCACTTCTGTACCCTGGCATCCAGCCCCAGTGGAGCTGGATGAGTCAGAGAGAACCAGAGGGGACAGTGCGATGTCATCTGA